ATCAGAGGATGTGATTGTTCACCTTAAATAAATTTTCTCCAGGCATGGCATCCCAGAATGGTTCTATAGTGATAATTGACCACAGTTCGCAAGGCAACAGTTCACTGACTTCGCAGAGGCATACGGCTTCAGACACACCACAAGCAATCCCAAGTATGCTCAGAGCAATGGAGAGGTGGAACGGCATGTCCAGACTGTAAAAAGATTGCTGAAGAAAGCTTGTGAACCATATCTCGCTCTTTTGGCATACAGGGCGACCCCACTGTCTAATGGATACAGCCTTGCCCAACTTCTTATGGGTCGGAGGATCTGCACACCCGTTCCCCAACTTCCCTCTCTGCTCACCCCTACTCTTCCAGAGAGTGCTGCAGTGACGGCTCGGGAAAGGGAGAGGAAGTTGAAGGATAGCGGTGTGTTCAACAGGAGACATCGTATGCGAGATCTAGGTCAACTCACACCAGGTCAGTCAGTGTAGGTTACTGATACCAAGACTGAAGGCGCGGTGGTTTCTTCCCACTCCACACCTCGCTCATACGTGGTGGAGAGCCCTTCAGGCACCATCAGGAGAAACAGACGTCACCTTGTGCTTTTGCCAGAAACGTCACCTCAGACACAGACATCTGCCAAACCAGGGGACGACACTCTGGTAACCCCAGAGCATCCAGAGACTCCAGCACAGACTCCAAAGTCGCATACACCTGGTCTGGTCAGAACTCGGTGTGGACGGATGGTGATTAAGCCTCAAAGACTTGATTATAAGCAGTTAGTACAGAACGTGATAAGCTGAAAAGGGTGCAAGTGTTATTAATGTTCTTTGGGTAATTTGAGGGTGGAAGCTAAAGTTAAATACAGTATGCTGGTTTAGCTGGTCAATTCTTTATGCATTCTTTTTGAAGAAAGGGGGATGTAGTGCAGCCTGTTATTGTACGCATACTTTTAATGTGAAAGACTCTGAGAGGAGGAACAGGAAACAGTTATAGGGGGGCTTTTGTGGTCCTGGAAAAAGGAGCAAGACGTAGGAATAAAGCAGTGAAATATGTTACCCTCTTGTGTCGCTGTATGACCTGACGCACAACACAACATTTGTAGTAGTTATATAAGGGTGAGCTAAGTGTTTATGTAAACTTGATCTGTTTCTCTTCTCTTGCTCAAGCAAGGATATCTTGGCTTGTGTCCTCCTTGTTAAATTTATGGGTAAACATCCAGAGATAAGTCCTCCTTAATTGGGAATTGGACATAGCTTCAGCCTTATGTGAACAGTTTGTGTGCTCTGGTCATGTTTAGAAAAAGGAAATGTGCGCTAGGTCAACACGACCTAGCAGTTCATGTACTAGACATCTCAGACAATTCTTGGAAGAAGGGGTGTACAGCTGGCGTGAAACCATGACTCTGGCTCAAGCAATAGGAGGATGTGTAACTGGGAGAAGATAAAAGTTGGGATAGCTGTGGTTTGGAGGAATGATGGTGCTGCAGTCATGAGTGTGCGTTTGGCCCCGACTGGGTGATAAAGGGACTAACTCCCGACTCTGACAGACGTGACTGTACCTTGTGCCACAATGACTGACTGGCTCTGTGACAATCTCCTAATCTAATACTTTTATTTCTCTGCAGAGATGGTGACTCTATCTTTCAGTCTGTTGAACTGCCTTGCAAACTGCTGAACTGCCTTGAATTATTATAATAAAGTTAACATTGCAATTGGGATGATTTGTCTGAATTCACTTAGTTTACATCAGGCTCGAACCACAGCATCACTAGTCTTCTGTTAGTTATAACACACCAGTCTGGAAAACGTGTCCAAGAGCAAAACTGTTAAATATTTTTATAATAGGTTTACCTCTTTTCGGTTTTGCACTTTGTAGACGGTCCCTGCAAAAACATTTCACGAAAACAGCTGATTTAGCTGAAAATCCGTGTGCCGTCTAGTTCAAATATGCATTGTCTCTGGAAACACAATAGCAATGTAGGGAATGTACTTGTCCTGCCATTTATTCTAAATAAATAAACTAAAACTTAATACAACTACAATGTTAAGTAAAAATAAAAGATCTTCGGACGATTCACAAACTCTATCAGCATCCGTTCCAGGAATTCGGTTAGCCGTTAGCCATTAGCTCTGCACAGGTGACTGTTTACCTGAACCAGCTGCACGCGCCCCGGGCTAAACATAATCCTCAATTCTGCGCCTTTGCGGTTCATCCTTCTTCTCCTCTGATAAGATGTGCTTCTCAAACCCGCTAATATCTTATCGCCTGATTCGCACCTTCTTGTCTCTTCTGCTTCCGCTCTCATCATCTGATTGCCGTAAAGCAGTTGTCGGGGTAATGCTAGCTGCTAGCAAGTATGACTTCTGAGAAGAAACACGCAAAACGTAAACTAGAATAAGTCCGTTATTAAACAGCTTAAACAGTGAAACGAGTCAGGTGGAAACTGATCAGAGACCTGATTTTACACTGGCAGGAGTTTTTTTTTTTTTACTCAGAACAGCGGCGGGTGAGCTGAAACGGATGCAGCTTCGATTAAAGGGGGTTTTGTTTGTTTTTAGTTACAGCGACCGAAGGAGTTTATACCATGAATAAGACCAGTCTGAAACCGCATCGAACACGGTCACTCCGTTTCCCGCAACACTTTTAAGACCGAAAACCTGCTGAAAAGCAATAAAACAGAAACTGTTTATTTACCTCCGAAACTGTCAACTCAAATCCAGGCATCTGTTCTGGGACCAGCTGACAGAGCCGCAAAGTCTAGTAATAATCCATAGAATTCAGTAGATATGGCCGAAAAGCTTCCGGTGCGACACTACTACTAATAAAACTCCTTCCACCTCTTCTTCTTCCTCTTGCTCCTCCTCTTACTTAAAAAAAAATCTTTATTAACAAAAAGGAAACTATAAACCGAACAAGATGGGCATACAAGCAAGCCAAACAAAACACTGGGATTTGCATAATAACCCTTAAACAATATTACTATGACAAGCATGAAAGAAAAACAACATAACAAAGACCAGCTATGAAAACAAAGCATAAAATAAAAAAAGACAAGCACAAAAATGAACAGCAAAGCTGGAAATATTAAAGAAGCAACAACTGGGATATAGACATATACAATTTATAAACCCTGCTTTGTTCAAGTTATTCATAAAATAAATGTCATTATACTTAATACAGTTTTTAATGACAACCAGTAATAGAGATTAGACCAAAACAAGGTGGAATGTGGACATTCAAAGAACAGGTGATTTAACTACAAGTTTGCGTCCAGGTTGTGAAGGGGTCCGCAGAAATCCTCTCTGCTCTCCTTTTGACCTGAGGTGTACAGGTCCTCCCATAGAGGGCAGGCTAACACCAATGATTTTCTCCGCAGTTCTGACTGTTCGATGGAGTCTGTTCCTTCAGTGGACAGTCAGGACTGCGGAGAAAATCATCGGTGCCAGCCTGCCCTCCATGTGTCCGTAATAGTCTGTGCTATTTTTCAGTTTGTTTAAAAAAATAAATAAATAAATAAATAAAACATACTCAAAGAGTAATGATATAGCATGACAACTGAGCAAACGCTGAGTCCTGAGGAGGACAGTGAGATACAGATGAAAGGTCTGGGAGGAAAATAGTTCTGTAGACCCTGAATTAACTTCTCTTTTCCAGTTTAATTACCACTTACCAGTTTTTGCTACTGTCTTTAACCACATCTCTGTCTTCATCAACAAAATGAGTTTGCTCACTTGCCATGGAGATGGATCAGTTGATATGACAAGACCTAATTTTGGCGACCTAACTTAAATCATATGATAACAGAGAAGGCTGGTTGAAAGCTCTTGAAAGACCTTTTAGTCAAGAATTCAAATGTGGTGTTCACTTTCTAATTATTATATGTGAACAATGATAATTATCAAGCAATTTTCTTTGTAATCTAAATTTCACTTCTAAAAACAAATATTGAATCTTCATTATTAGTGCATCAAATCAAACAATCTATGAAGCAGCAGTGAAAAAACACAATATCTGCTCTCAGAGATACTGTATGCTATCTTGCCATCAAAATTTCTTTCTTTTTTCCAGAGCTGTATTCTGTTTTACCAGTGCACAGCAGTTTCATGTTAATCACCTATGCCTGTTCAAGGAAATACAGGCAGAATTTCTGCAAAACTTCACAATCATCCAAATCTGTAAGAGGAAAAAGAAGGGAAGCAGAGACCACCTCATCCTTTATCTTTTATTCAGCTGTCAGGCTGTTCATTAGATGGGAGAGTGTTGTAATGAAGGCAAATTCCCTGGATGTTCAAGTTATCAGTTTTGTACAATGGGGCCAGGAGCACAATCAGTAGGAGGTGAGTGGCCAACTACAGTGCAGTTGTTCCTGTTGTTGTATCTGCCTGCTGCAGGTGCAGTTCAGGCCATCACCCAGCAGGAGGCAGCTACACATCACCAGGTGGTCAGAGTAAAGTGAATCATTTCACTGGGTGTGTGTTTCACTGCTGCAGTCTGTTACACTGAGTTTTTGTTTTCTGTGGTGCAGGGATGCTGCCAGAACTCGGACTGCTGGGAAACCACAGGGGGCCCAACTTCTGCCCTGCCCCGGCTCTGCCCCAGCCAGCTCCACCTACCCAGGTGAAGGTTCCTGATAGAGCCTGGGACACTGGTGATCGGCTGATCAGGTGAGGCAGCGCTGTGAGTGCAGTTGGCCTCTCATCGACAGGAGTCTGTGAGCGTGGAGATGCTCAGACTCCTGTCGAGTGTGGAGATGCTCACAAACTCCTGTCGATGAGAGGCCAACTGCACTCTCACCTGGTAACTCACAGCACTGCCTCACCCGCTCACCTTTGTCCCGGGCTCTGTCAGGAACCTTTACCTGGGTAGGTGGAGCTGGCCGGGGCAGGGCAGACGTTGGGCCCCCTGTGGTTTCCCAGCAGTCTGAGTTCTGGCAGGAGCAGGTCCTGGGTAGAAACCAGGAAGTGCTCATGATGATCTACACAGTTGAAGTCAGACACAGAAGTCTTCAGCTTGTTCCAGCTTCAATATTTAATTAAGACACAACACTTAGTGATACTTGTGACATATTTAAGGCAGAAAGCAGAAATACATCATAAAAAAATCAGCAGTTTAAACCAGAAAAAGACAACTGTAACCCACACTCAGGAGGAGGGTTTGACTTTGAGTTTTGCAGATGAAATGTTCCCATATTACTCCTCAGGCTGAGGGCACTGGTCATCAGCCATCGCAATCATCTCCTCCTCCTCACCCTCTGTGATGCAGGAGGAGGAGTTGTCTCCGTCGTAGATGATGTCTTCAGGGTTTGGAGCAGGAGGACAGAACTCTTCCTCGGGAAGAATCTTCTGGAAGATCGACTCCGCCTGGAAAGACACAGACGTTCAGTTAAAGATTTTTTTTTAAGAAGCAGAGTGGGATAGGAACAGAATTCAGTTTATTAAAAACAATTGTCTAAGCCTAACCAACAGTCCTGTAGTAAATCGTCCATGTCTCACAAAGGTGTGGCTTCACCTGTGTGACCACTGCGTGGCTGCGTGTTTCCGCTAGGATGTTTTTCAGCAGTCCATTTTGCAATGGCAGGCCGCATATTGGAAACGTGTGCATGGAGATATGTTTGTGTACAAACATGACGTCGAGTTAAACAGCAGCACAAACTCCACCGTGCTCACACAGCTGAACCAACACAGACAGTGCGCCAAGAAGAAGTGAGCCACTGGGCACTACCTGGTTTTCTGCAGGATTTGGTCCTAAACTGATATTCTTCTGCATCACAAGTACAGACAAACACAGTGTGCTGAAGTGCACACAGCATCTTCACTGAAGAAGAAGAAGCATTATTTCATTGTCATTGCAATATTGCGACACAAAAAATGAAATTTTGTTTGGAGCCGAGGGCCCTGGGCCGCTGCGTGCATACGTGCCGCCATCACGGGCAACTGAACCCAGCCATTAAACAGTGACAGTGGCTTGAATAACTAACGAACAGCTTTGGCAGCAGTGACAGCTGCTTACTGAAGCTCTGATCAGACCTGGTGAAGTAAAGTGATGTGGGGCTGCTCCACTGCCTCTGCGCCTAGACAGCTGCAGTCGTGGAGAGGAACATGAACTCCCAGGTTTGCCAGGGTGGGTGACGTAACAGGACAGTGACCCTACCCGCTGAAGATATTCTACGACAGAATGGCTTCAAAGCGAGATCAGCCATGTGGAGTCAGGGTCCAGGCCGCGACCCAGCAGAGCTGCTGTGGACTGAGCTCAGAGGGCGTTCATACCAGATGTCCTGGGAATATGTCTGAGCTGGAGCTGAACTGAATGCTGGACAGGTCTGACCAGGACAGCTACAGGAAGCAGCTGTATGAGGGTCACGCTGCTTCAACCAGTTATTCACGGTTTCCACCAGCACTGTGAACTTTTAACAGCTGGGTTCAATAAAGACACACAAGATTGTAATTGTGCTATCCACACTGTGTTTGTCTGCGACTCTGATAGTGTTGCTTTCGTCAATGAAAATTATGACTAAATATCATCCTCAATGAACCTTTATCGCATGACGGACACAAGACGCAACGAAAATGCTGGTAATGTGACGATGACTATCAATGTACAATGCAATATTGTCGAAAAAAAAGAGACAATGTAGTTTACAAAATAAAAACTATGCTAAAATGTCTCTTCATTTTCGTTGACCAAAATGAGACGAAACAAAATATTATAACATTATTTTGTCTCGTTTAGTCGCGTTATTATTTTGCAGTATTTCTGTTTCCTGTGTCTCACTTCAGGGGCCGCATCAGGTCGCACTGCGCAGACGCAGGCGACGTCACTTTCTTACATCCCACTCACGGCATTATTTAGAAGACGACAACAAACAAAGTTAAGTCTGACACAGAGAAAGGGACCGATGGCCAGCCAGCCAGTTCGTCTTTGGGAGAAAAAGAAGAAACGACATTTGTAAAAACTTTAAGTACATAGAAGTGGAAAAGAAAACGGAATGTATTGTGGGAAAAGATGGGGAGAAATGTGGCCACAAAATGTGTATTGGATGTATTCTTGAGTCTATAAGGTAACAATAATGTAATAAGATAACCTTGTTTGAAATGGGTTTGGCTAAAAGAAACTTTTGTTTCGTCTATAATACTAGGTACTTGTACTATATTGACTGGGTTAAATAGAATTGCATTGCTAAAGAGACAAAAATACAATTTTTATTGACTAAAACTAGACTAAATGTCATCAGTTTTCGTCGACAAAAGCCAGACTAAAATGTCATCAGTTTTCATCAACTAAAAAGTCATCAGTTTTCGTCGACAAACTAGACTAGACTAGAAAGAGTATGAATGTGACTAAAACTAATAAAAACTAAAATGACAAGTTCACACAAAGACTAGACTAAAAGTAAAATTAAAACAGGCCGCCAAAAACAACTCTAGACTCTGATGAAGATTGGGTCACATTTTAGGACCAGATCCTGGAGAAAGGTTGATGGTTCCCTCCTCCTTCTTGACCCAGACGCAGTCAGATGAGCGTCAACCACACATGTAGTCGGCAATTTACAAATACAGTCCAGGATTACAGATTAAATTTTTGATTTACAAATGTGTAAAATAATTTTTGAGTGCAGTTCTTTAAAATGTGTTTACAGATTGTTAGACGTGCACAGATCACCTGACGTGATTTCCCTCTCAGATCAACAAGTGTATGGTGCGCTTAATGACTGGCGGAAAACTTGGATGTTTGGCTTTTCAGGCTTTTTTTCAGAGATAACATTGCTCATCACCTATTGACTGGACTGAAATTAAATATGTATTTTAACATGTAATATTTTAATGTTATGTGAATTTATATTAGTTTTAATCAAAACATGCCTGTACTGTATTGTGATTATTATTTTGCGATCAATATTTAAGGTGATGCCAACCCACAAAGTCCACAAAGGTCCCCTGTTCACCGTAGGATATGTGAACTTGCATTATTGATCTTAATAATATTCATAATACTCTACAGGCATGTTCTGATTAAAATGAAATTAAAGCCACATAACATATCAACATTAGCTAAGTACAGCGTCCCTACAACACTAAAGGTGTGCTGCTAAAATAATGTCTGTCAAAAGTGCATTTTTAATCTTGTGAAAGTTTTTACTCTCTCTTACCTGCCAGAGCTATAGTCATGGAAAATAATTCAAGCATTGTATTTCACTAAAATGAGAGCTGGAAAATACAGTAGCCTATTGGTTTGTGGGTGGAACAGGGAATAACGACATTATATGGCCATATGTGAAATGGATGTAATAGGTTGTTTTGTTGATAGTTAAAGTTGCAGAAATTAAAGTTTTTGTTTAGCTTGTTCCACCTGTCTGTTTTTACCATATATTGCTACTTCAATAAAACAATAAACATATGCAATAAAACAAATGTTTTGCATATGTAGTACCAATGTTTTAACAACTGGATGAGTTTCATTCCTTGTTAAAATACATATTTAACTGAAGTCCAATCAAGGGGTGGTGAGCAATTTTGGCTTTCTGGAAAAAAAGCCTGAAAATTCAAATATCCCAGTTTTCCACCTGTCCTTAAAGGCAACACATCTGTGGATCTAACGGTGAGAAAATCCTTTCAAAACCAGGCCATGAGGGCAACGTGATCGGTGGGTGTCAGGCGATCTGTGCACACACATCTAACAACCTGTAAATGCATTTTAAAGAACTGTACATAGAAAACCATTTTGACACATTTGTAAATCTGGATTTCATCTGTAGATTATTGAAAACATCTGTGGCCTTCATGAAATGCACAAAAATCAATTTTTACACAATTGTAATCTTCACTCTATTTGAAAATTGCTAAATACACATTTGTGGCTAGTTATGAAAAGCCGTTACTGCCATAGTGTTATAGAAATTCTGTCATTAAACATGATTTATGCTATTTGTGTTTTAAACTTTCAGAACAGAGCCATGTGAGAAACTTGCTGTGTAGGTCTGAAGGACGTTTTCTATCTTTCCTGTGAAACTGTGTACTGATATACTCGACTACAGACTGTTACAGATGAAGCGAGACACTGTCAACTGTAGGATAAGCATGTGTCCCAGTATGAGTAGCATCTAAGTCATGTTATCAGGGTGTGCTTTTTCAACTACAGTATACAGTGAGGAACAGAAGTATTTGAACACCCTGCGATTTTGCAAGTTCTCCCACTTAGAAATCATGGAGGGGTCTGAAATTCACATTGTAGGTGCATTCCCACTCAGAGACAGAATTTTAAAAAAAATTCAGGAAATCACATTGTATGATTTTTAAAGAATTTATTTGTCTTGCACTGCTGAACATAACTATTTGAACACCTGAGAAACAGCAAGAATTCTGGCTCTCAAAGACCTGTTACTGTGCCTTGAAAAAGTCCACCTCTACTCCACTCAATCTAAATTAGTAGCACCTGTCTGAGCTCTTTAAAGACACCTGTCCACCCCACAGTCAGTCAGACGTCAACTACTACCATGGGCAAGACCAAAGAGCTGTCAAAAGACACCAGAGACAAAATTGTGGACCTCCACAAGGCTGGAAAGGGCTACGGGGCAATTGCCAAGCAGCTTGGTGAAAATAGATCAACTGTTGGAGCAATTGTTAGAAAATGGAAGAGGCTAAAGACGACTGTCAGTCTCCCTCGGACTCGGGCGCCATGCAAGATCTCACCTCGTGGGGTATCACTGATGATAAGAAAGGTGAGGAATCAGCCCAGAACTACAAGGGAGGAGCTGGTCAATGACATGAAGAAAGCTGGGACCACAGTTTCAAAGGTCACTGTCAGTAGAACACTACGCCGTCATGGTTTCAAATCATGCATTGCACGGAAGGTTCCCCTGCTCAAGTCATCACATGTCCAGGCCCGTCTGAAGTTTGCCAAAGACCATCTGGATGATCCAGAGGAGGCATGGGAGAAAGTCATGTGGTCAGATGAGACCAAAGTAGAACTTTTTGGTCTAAACTTCACTCGTCGTGTTTGGAGGAAAAAGAAGGATGAGTTGCATCCCAAGAACACCATCCCTACTGTGAAGCATGGGGGTGGTAACATCATGCTTTGGGGGTGCTTTTCTGCAAAGGGGACAGGACGTCTGCACTGTATTAAGGAGAGGATGAATGGGGCCATTTATTGTGAGATTCTCCAGACCTCAATCCAATAGAACATCTTTGGAGGGAGCTTAAACTCCGCGTTGCTCAGCGACAGCCCCGAAACCTGACAGATCTAGAGGAGATCTGTGTGGAGGAGTGGGCCAAAATCCCTGTTGCAGTGTGTGCAAACCTGGTCAAGAACTACAGGAAACCTTTGTTTACAATTACAGAGGTCAAAGGTTTCTGTACCAAATATTAACACTGATTTTCTCAGATGTTCAAATACTTATGTTCAGCAGTGATAGACAAACAAATTCTTTAAAAATCATACAATGTGATTTCCTGAATTTTTTTTTTCAATTTTGTCTCTCAGAGTGGGAATGCAATGTGAATTTCAGACCCCTCCATGATTTCTAAGTGGGAGAACTTGCAAAATCGCAGGGTGTTCAAATACTTCTGTTCCTCACTGTATATTGTACTGTTTGAACCTACCTCACTCAGACAACTCTGTATGCTCATGCTGACTTGTCTCCTTGCTGCAAGTAGACTAATTATTTAAAAAGATTCCAGTGACTTTGCTGCTTTATTAAAAATTATTTTGACACATAGGTTCAGCCAGGTGTGTGTGTGTGTGTGTGTGTGTGTGTGTGTGTGTGTGTGTGTGTGTGTGTGTGAGACCTGTCTGATGGCAGGGTCATGTCCCAGACCTCCGTCTGGTCCGAAGCACACATAAACATTAGATGGGAGGTCGTAGTCTTCGACTCGTCCTTCAGAGCCATCGGCCATGTTGAAGTACAGACACCAGAGGACAGACGGGCGGTACTCTGCAGACACAGGGGAGGCAGGCAGGCACTCATTTGTCTGACAGGCACATGATTCTTCACCTGCTCTACAGGGAACTCAGCTGCTACATTAGTCTGATGCAACTCAGTTTCACAAAAATACAGACTGACTCATGCTAACCCTTAAATGCTAGTGTTAACTAGTCACACCTGTGTTCCCATGGTAACGACACCTGCTGGCAAAATCAGGGAAACACAGCTCACAATTTGTAGTCTGCAGAGAGAAGAGTCTATAGCTGCACTGTTCCAGTCTTCACTTTTTTTTTTTTTAACAGTAAAAGTTCATACAGCTGTCAAATTCTGCAGGAGATGAGTTTTATGAGCACTTTGATGTTTGTTAGTTTGAAAAAGTCTTAATTACCCAGAATTCATAGCTAGTTAACCCAAATGAAGACAGCTGAGAGTTAAGTATCGTGGTGAAGCAGATCTAAAGTGTGACTGCCGCAGTTAGAGTCGGTCTGTGTGCAGCCGAACCACAGTCGCCTCACAGCAGGAGACAGACTGTAGTGGGAATTTTATGATAGCACTCTCAAGTTTATTAGCTATTGGCTTTGTAGTCTAGTACTCTTTGTAGTTTAGTGGCTGTGGCTTTGTAGTGATTTGATTTGATTTGATTTACTCTTTCAAACATGTAACAACAGTCAATTTGTCAACACATAATTTCACACATATCCACAAATACATTATCAATTTGCTTATACCTAGTACATGCTTGAACGGAGTAGGAATAAGTTAGACTTATCTAGTCCTACCCCCCAACATCATCTTATCATCATTGGTTTGCAAGCAGTATTACTACATAGATAATTTTGTTCTACACCACACTAGTGATATACTAAAAAATTATTACAGATTGTTAACATTCTTACATAATTACATACTTTGATAATTATCTTCTACATCACACAAGTAGAATTATACACCACACTCACAATGTTACACCTGATTAATCATTAAGCCTGTTCTTGCCCATCTCTTGATTGACACATACCTTTATATTTAAACTCACCAATTCTCTTACTGTTTTTTATGTTCACACTTAAATTATTCCATAGTTTTACCCCACTTATGGAAATACAGAATCTTTTTTTGGTTGTACGTATAGCATGAATTTTATAATTTAACTGACCCCTTAAATTGTATCCCCCTTCCCTTTCATTAAATAGTTTTTGAATTCCACCAGGTAATAAGTCGTTCCTGGCTTTATACATAAACACAGCAGTCTGATATCCCACTAAATCAAACAATTTTAACAATTTAGACTGTATGAAAGCTACATTGGTGTGATCCCTATACCCCATCTTATGCACAATTCTTAT